CACACACAGAAGAGTTCAAAGGTTACGCCAAAGATGTCAATGTTGCTACTGATAACTTCACCAATTACGGCTCCGGTGCCACAGGTGGCTTCCGGGATTTCACATCCTATGACGGACGAGTTAACGTGCCGAATCTTGGATTTATCTTGTATGATTCCGACGCTAATTCTCATAAGCTTTCATTTTCAAGCTATACCGAGGAGGCAAATGCAGGCGCTGAAGCGTTCACAAGCTACGGAAAGAATGACAATGCAGTTCTGTCCCAGTTCAACAGCTACAGCAACGACGCCAACAATATCAGGTCGGATTTTATGAGTTACGGCGTGTCGGGGAATGCGGCGAACGACTCGTTTAAAGGATATGGTGATTCAAGGAACACTCCGCACAACAATTTCAAAACCTATGGCGTCGGTGCCAATTCAGGAATCGATAAATTCACCAGCTACCTAGACGGTGCTAATTCTGGAGATGATACTTTCCAATCTTACACAAGCCATGCCCATTCCGACGAAGTGAATTTCGCCAACTATGGGAAAACATTTAACCCAGTGAACGATACATTCAAAGAATACGGCAGAGGTTCCTTCAGTGATCCGACGATTGGATTCAAAACCTATGGATCGAATCCTAATTTTATAGATTACCACAAAAAGGGTGTCACTTTCAACGAATACATCGCCGACGAAATTTCTCCGGCGAGCAGTCCCACACTTTTTGTGGTAATCTATAAAATTGAGTTAAATGTAGTAGAGGGTGATGAACGGAATGTTAAATGTTAACGGAAATGTTAAGAGAATGGCTGATTTGCCACTGCAGGGGAGTTGAGGGGTTGATTTGCCACTGCAGGGGAGTTGAGGGGCTGATTTGCGCGTGAAGTGGGTTGAGGGGGTGATTTACCACCAGTTGTTGAGTTCAGGGGCTGATCAGCACCTTTTGCCAACTTATAACAGATGCCCAAAAAATAGAAAACGGTGCAATAGAAACAATCCCTTTAAGGCTATAACAGACTTTTTTTCACAGTCTACTCACAAAAACAGAGCGCCCCCCATTGGTCGTGAAACTCACTCGCTATTTTCGCTCGTGAGTTTGATCTAAAAGTACCAAACCAACGAAGACACACCTTATTGGTCTATCCGTAAAGTGGGACCCAAAAAAAAAAAACAGAACTTGACTCTGGGTCGTCGTCCTTTTTTTTTTTTTTTTTTTTTTTTGGGGGAAATTTCCTTTCTTTTCCCTTCACTTGCCCACTCACCACTGCAGCGAAAATGATCCAACAAGAAGACGCACAGAACCAAAACATTTCCTAATTTTCTCCAATTCCACCGTTTTGATCCTCAAACAGAACCCACAAAAATGCCCAAGTCAATTATTCCCATCCCCACCACCACACAAATCCCCTCCACCAAGACCATCCTCTCCGCCGCCGCCTCTGTCGCTGCCACAGCCGTTCTCCTCCGCTCCGTCGCTAAGCAGTACGTTCCTCGGGAGCTCCGCGACTACATTTATCTTAAACTCAAAACCTTCATCGCCTCCTTCTCTCAAGAGATCACCTTGGTCATCGAGGAATACGAGGGACTCAACCAAAACCGTCTCTACAAAGCCACCGAGCTCTACCTGGAGCAAACAATCCCTCCCTTGGCAAACAGATTCAGAGTTTCCCTTCCTAAAAAAGAAGGCAAAATTTCATTATCCCTCGGAAAACGCCAGGAGATCATCGAAAATTTTCATGGGGTTCAACTCAAGTGGAAATTTGTTTCGAGAAAAGTCCCATTAAAGCGCATGCCAAGCTCCGATCCTTTCGATCATTCGTTTCTGTCAGAGAGTCGAAAATTCGAGCTCAGGTTCCACAAGAAACACCAGAAGATGGTCTTGGATACTTACCTGCATCATGTTTTAAAGAAAGCGGATGAAATGAAAGAGAAAAAGAAGACCCTGAAACTGTTTACGTTGAAGAATGACAGGACACGTCCATCGAGAGATGCGTGGCAACAGGTAAATCTCGATCATCCGGCCACTTTTGACACTCTGGCGATGGATTCCGACCTGAAGAAGATGATCATGGAGGATCTGGAGAGGTTTGTGAAGAGGAAGGAGTTTTATAGGAAGGTAGGGAAAGCTTGGAAAAGAGGGTACTTGTTGTTTGGGCCTCCTGGGACAGGGAAGTCGAGCTTGATTGCAGCCATGGCGAATTTTCTTAATTTTGATATATATGACTTGGAGTTGACTGATGTTAGAACCAATTCTCAGCTCAGGAAATTGATGGTTTCGACGGGGAATAGATCGATACTGGTGGTAGAGGATATTGATTGTTCAATTGAGTTCCCAGATAGACATGCTGAGGGCAGGAAGACTACGATGCCCGCTCCCGTCCCTAATCAATTCAATCAACCACCCCAGCCTGAGGTAATGTTGTTACCTAATTTCTTTCCATAATATTGAAGTAGAATTGTATTTTGCATGTCCAATTCGAAATGACATGTTTCAGGATTTCAATTTGTCCTTACATAACCGTGTAAGTTTGATTTGATATCTTTGAAATGTAGCATGATGTAATAGTTTCTATCTTATATATTGGTATCAGGTGACGCTTTCAGGATTGCTGAACTTCGTAGATGGTTTATGGTCAAGCTGTGGGCATGAAAGGATTATAGTGTTCACAACAAATCACAAGGACAGGCTTGATCCGGCTTTGCTGCGTCCTGGTCGCATGGATATGCATGTCCACATGTCGTATTGCACGCCCTGTGGGTTCAAATTGCTGGCTTCAAACTACCTTGGAATTACAGAGCATCCGTTGTTCTTGATCATTGAAGAGTTGCTGGAGATAACAAACGCAACTCCAGCAGAGGTGGGTGAGCAGTTGATGAAGGAGGAGGTGCCTGAACTTGCATTAAGAGGTCTCATTGAATTTTTAGAGGACAAGCAGGCGGAGGATGGTGCTGTGGCATTGAGGGTGACAGAGAAGGAAAAGAAAAGCTAGGGTTGTTGGGAGATTGGAGTGAGGAGAATTATGTAATAGCCTAAACTCATAAATTCTGCACATTAGCATCATTAGTCAAATACTCACAGTAGGGCGATCCTATTCTCCATGAAAGGGAAGCTAACTACAAACATGTCCTTGCTTGTGCAGCAATAAAAATAAAAATCAGCATCATTTCAAACTTAACCTGATGTCATGGTCGACATTCATTCAGAAACACCTGACAATCTTTCAAACATGAGTTTGGAACCAATCCCAAGCAAGCAAGACTCCCCATTGAAAGAACTGGGGGTCATGCACAGAATACAATACCATTCCTATCAATATAGAGGTCCAAAAAAGTATTTTACTAAATCACCTTAGAACCACCAAAACCATGTGAAACTAAATGATTCTTGCTCACTACACATAAAAGCTTGGAGTGTATTATCAACTAGCAAGTTTTTATTTTTGCAATTTGTGATAGGACTCTACAATTGCAGAAGCAGCCAGTAGCTGGGCCTGCAAACATCATATGCAACAAAAGGTTCAGTTTCAGATTGACGAAACTTGCAAATAAAAATTTAATGATATGGCACAAATCAGTTAGTCAAAAAGAATAATCAATTAAAGAAAGCTGTGCTTTAACTTGCCTTCAAACTGAAAAAATACTGCCTCAGTTGAACTGGAGCCTCTAAAGTTTACTGAACACACTACAGAGTTCTATACAGCCATTTTCATCTCTATTTTCTGGTGAGGATCATAACCTATGAGTTTGAAATCAGATGCCACAAAAGAATCTATATTCTTTTTCTCTGGATTTATCTTCAAAATCTGGATCAAAATATTATAAAGAAGAAGCCATGAGGAGATGGTCTAGAAAAAGAAAGCCCATTCTAGACCAATGAAATTATCAAATTAAAATTGTTTTACTTACTGGAAAAGGCTTTGGTAGCTTCTGAAGCTGCTCCTGCAAGGGCCTGACATGAGTGCGATAAACATGAGTATCCCCCATAACATGGATAAAGTCTCCTGGAGAAAGATCTGTATAGAAACAAAGATAAATAATTTAAGATAGTCTGTTGAAACACAAGTAATTAGTCAGATGATTACAGAAACCCATTAAAACTAATCATCCTAGCAAATTTAATGCATTCACAAACACCACATTGTTATCTACATACCACAAACATGAGCAATCATATTTGTCAGAAGAGCATAGGATGCTATGTTGAATGGAACACCCAGGCCCATATCTGCAGAGCGCTGATACATCTGACATGACAACTCTCCATTGGCCACGTAGAACTGTAAAGTATTGTACTGAATAGGATAAGCTCAATTACAATGAGAGAAGTATAAAACTACCCAACCACTTCAACACTAACCTGTGCAAACATGTGGCAAGGTGGGAGTGCCATCAAATTTAGATCAGAAGGATTCCAGGCTGAGAGTATAATCCTTCTGTCATCTGGGTTATTCTTAATCTTATCAATAACATCTAGCAACTGATCAAAACCTTGGCCAGTGTAGTCAGCATGCATGTCAGTATACCTGGCATTGGCAGAGCTCAAAGGTAAGATTTATGGCAAGAATTGAAGCTAAACATCTTTCCATAAGGGAGACAAAAAATGTGAAAATCCACCAACCTAGCCCCGAAATGTCTCCACTGGAACCCATAAACAGGTCCCAGGTCACCCTCCTCCCTCTCAGTCAACCCAATACTGAAATTGAATGTAGAAATGATGATTAGTAATTAAGTGAGAAAAGGCAAATGAGTAAACAATATAGAGATTACAACAAAGTCGAGTAATGATACCTATCAAGATACTCTCTGGATGCATTACCATCCCATATATGGATGCCCTTTTCCTGAAGAACCTGTCAATAATATTAAATGCTTTAGAACAGAATCCCTTTCTACATGCTCTGACATCCATATCATAGGGAAAAAAGTCCAACTGTTAATACAGAAAGTTTATGTAAATAAGATAAGCACATCTGTAATCTCTATAAAAGATTCAAGTCATAAGATCCTTAACACAGCAAAGGCACACAACTGAATAAAGTCAGCACATTTTCAGGCAATAAATATAACAGCTTACAGATTACAAAACCAAGAACTAGTTTTAGCAGTGCATGTTTTGCCTTTGTTAATTGTCACATCTGACTTAGTCAATTACTTACAGATCTTGTAATAAATGATAAGAAGGGCCAGTGGGGAAAAGGATATGAAAAGATTAGGCAACAAGCAAGATCAATAGATCAGGAATCAAGATTGCATCAATAAGATTTCTAAAAGAACTTAAACTAGCTCAAAGTTCAAACTAAAAGTGATTCTACAATTCCATCCTATCAAATATGATATGAAAGATATGATAACAACAGAAATAAAGCATACAGCCTAAGATGTTTGAATAAAGACAAGATTACCTTAGCGCTTGTTGAACCACTGATGAACCAAAGAAGCTCCTCAACAACACCTTGCCAAAATACTTTCTATCAACCAAAATAATACATGTCAGTTTGCCAACCTGACTGATGCTGATTAACATACAGAACAGAAGAACTAATTCAACTACACAGAACACCATAAATAATTTGGGATGAAGATGACTGATATACATGCTTTACCTTTGTTGTGAGAAGTGGAAAAGTTTTTCGCAAATTGAACCGTGTCTGTGATTGAAAAGAACATGGAAAAATCAACACATGTGACTCAGAAATCAAACCCTTATAGAAAAGAAAGAAATTCATATTACCTGGCAACCAAACTTTGATAAAGTACCAGTCCCTGTCCTGTCATCCTTCAGAGTGCCATTGTCAATGATGTCTTCAACCATTCTAAGATACAAATACTCCTCATGTCTCTGAAAAACCATTTTGGGCAGGAAAGAGAACTTCTTCACCTCAAACTTGTCAGTATCTGGTCTCTTATCAAAGATCTGATCATCATTCTCATTGATGGATTCAACCACAGAATTCCGAACACGAACATAAGTTGTGAAGCAAAACCGAATATTGTTTTCTACCACAGGAAAAGATGAGTACCATGGCTGGAATACAGAGGAATCAATTGCATGCATAAAAGTGTCACACTCTATACTTGTCTCAATTTCTGTAAAGTGGATAGCATCACATTCAGGTGCATTGAGAGCTTCCCTGTATCAGAAGGTAGTAAATAAAAAGAAATGAAAAGGGGAAACTGAAAAAAGAGCTCCTTGATATGGTATTAAGAACAGGTCCTTACCTAAATATCTGTCCACCCCCTATGACAAAAACTTTCTCAATTGATAGACAATAAGGAGATGCAGCAAGCAGTTGCAAAGCAGAAGTCATGCTTCCACATATTACAACATTCTCAGCTGTAGCAATATCAAAACTTCCAGAGCGAGTCAGGACAACATTAAGACGACTGGGCAGAGGTCGATGCTCATGGGGTATACTTTCCCATGTTTTCCTCCCCATTATGACTGCATTCTTTTTCCCAGAGTCTGATGTTGTCAAAGTGATCTCCTTGAAAAAATGGAGATCAGAAGGTAATTTCCAAGGTAATTTCCCGTCCTTGCCAATACCTAGATCTCTAGTTGCAGCCACAACAATTTGGTAAGTACATTGAGGAACGGGCTGTGCATTTCCATTGCCATTACAAATACTTGTCACAGTGTTAGCTGACATGATTGGACAAAAAACCTGACTGAAACTCAAGGGTGATGACTTCCAAAGAGGAACACACACCCAACTATTCTGGAAGTGCGGTAAAACCTGGAATGGTAACACAATCTTGTTTGGAACCTCAAACAAAACACAAGCACTCATATAATGTAAAACACATAAAGTTTAAAAGCTGAAGCTGTAAAAACAAGGGAAACACTAGCCAAAAAAAAAAAAAAAAAAACAAAAGCAGGTGGACAAAAAACTGCCAGAAGTGGATGGAATTCAACTTATTAAAGCTTAGATGTAAAGACTATGATTAAACAATTGAAAGCAAAGTTCTATCAATATTCAGACTTCTCATATACATTTGTCTTTAAGACAGGATCTTAAAAGCTAAGCATACCGTCCCTGGATCAAGAAATAAAGTATCCCCTCACCTTAAACCTGTCCTAAACCACTACGGACGCTCAGATATCAAAGGCTGCAAGTAGATAAGTACCCACTGCAAACTATACAAATCAAGCCATAGAGAGCAGAGCAGCCATATTTTGGCGGTGAGTCTGCCCTAAATTTACTATTAAACTAAGCCCACAAAAAATAAAAATAAAAATCATTCAAGCTGTCAACAAGGATGTAGAAACAAAAATGCTTCCAGAAATGAAACACAGAACATATTTCTAAGTTCTAACTAATTAGAAATGAAGTCAGGATGCCACAATAAGCAGTAAAATAAGCCTATATTTATTTATTTCAGGAAACTAAAATAAGCCTTTATTTATTATTATTATTTTTTTTTCTAATTCCAGGAAACTAAAAACAATTCTCTAATTAAATAAATCCAAATATTCATAAATAATTCCTCAAATCAAAAAAATACATGTGTTAGACGGAACATAAAGAATAAAGAAATAAACCCGTCAGCAATTCAGAAAATATTTTCTACCAACAAACAGACGATAATCCAGAAACCAAACAACAGAGAGATGAAATTTCCAAAGTACATTCAGCCACGAACTAAAATCGACGGAAATTTCCATCGTAAGCACAAGCATACCAAACATTCATCGGAAAAACCTCCGGAGCTATCGTTATCTAAACCGGAAAGAACCTTTTGAAAGCAACAAAACACGAAACGAGAAATGCAAGAAGGTTACTCACCGATCTGAGGCGAAGACTCAAAATCTTTGATCGGAGACGGCGAAACTTCTCCTTCCGATAAAAAATTCGGAGGGAATTAGGGTTACTGCAGAGAATTGAGAGCAGCTTCGCTTCGCTTCCTTCCCTGACAATCTTTAGAATGCGGAAGAGAGGAAAACGAGGATGTAGAAAATCCAAAAGCACGGTTGACGCGGAGTACCGACGGGGCGAGTGAGAGCGACCTTTATATGTGTACAGCATGCAGCTTCCATTTCCACCCTAATTGCCACTTGTATTTTTCTAATATTACAATCTTACCCAGGATTAAATAACTATTAATTTAAATTTTAGATACAATGCAATTCTTTTTAAAAATTAGTTAGTGTTTAGGATAAGGATAAATTAGG